TTTCTCCACTCCTATTCAATACAGTTTTGGAATTCCTAGCTAGAGCAATAAGACAAAAGCAAGAAATAAAAGGGATAAAATAGGAAAGGAAGATGTCAAACTATCCCTATTTGCAGATGATATGATCCTATACCTAAGAGACCCCAAAAACTCTACCAAAAAACTACTAGAAATCATAAACTCTTTTAACAAAGTAGCAGTATACAAAATTAACATAAGAAATCAGTAGCTTTTCTACATACCAACTATGCACACACTGAGAAAAAAATCAAGGAAACAATCCCATTTATAGTAGCCTCAAAAACAATAAAGTACTTTGGAATAAATTTAACTAAAGAAACCAAAGACCTTTTTAATGGAAAAGTTTTCAGTGGTTTACACTACTGAAGAGAGAAATCCAAGAAGACATCAGAAGATGGAAAGCTCTTCTATGCTCATGGATTGGTAGAATCAACATTGTGAAAATGGCCATACTACCAAAAGCAATCTACATGTTCAATGCAATCCCTATCAAAATTCCAATGACATTCTGTACAGAAATAGAAAAAAGCAATCATGAAATACATAGGAAAACACAAAAGACCTTGAATAGTCAAAGCAATTTTGAGCAAAGAGTCCAATCCTGGAGACATCACAATACCCAACTTCAAACTATACTACAGAGCCATAACAATAATAACAGCATGGTACTGGCACAAAAACAGACAGGAAGACCAATGGACCAATAAAAGATCTAGACATAAACCTATGCATCTATAGCCAACTGATCTTTGACAAAGGGGCCCAAAACACACAATGGAGAAAAGACAAACTCTTCAAACAATGCTGCTGGGAAAACTGGATATCCACATGTAGAAGACTGAAACTAGATTCCTGTTTTTCACCCTGTACCAAAATCAACTCAAAGTGGATTGAACACCTTGATATAAGGTCTGAACCCCTGAAACAACTCTAAGAAGCAATAAGAAATGCACTGGAACAGATAGGTATAGGGAATGACTTCCTAAACTGAACTCAAAAGGCTCAGCATCAAAGAGAAACACTGAACAAATGGGACTGTATCAAACTAAAGCTCTTCTGCACAGCAAAGGAAACAGCAATCAGACTCAAGAACAGGAGAAAATCATTGCCAGCTATTCATCTGATAAGGGACTAATATCCAGAATCTACAGGGAACTCAAAAACTCAGCCCCCAAAGAATCAACATTCTAATGAAGAAATGGGCACATGAATTAAACAGGGAATTCTCAAAGGAAGAGGTACAAATGGTCATTAAATACATGAAGTATTCAACTTCCCTGGTTTTAAAAGTGATGCAAATCAAAACAACACTTAGATTTTATCTCACCCAAGTTAGAATGGCCAAAATCAAGGGTAATGACAACAACAAATGCTGGTGAGGATGTGGTGAAACAGGAACCCTTATACATTGCTGGTAGGAATGCAAATTAGTGCAACTACTATGGAAACAGTACGGAGATTCATCAAAAAACTAGAGATAGAACTGACATATGAGCCAGTGATACTACTCCTGGGCATCTACCCAAAAGAACTTCATACAGGACACAATAGTGACACCTCTACACTGATGTTCATTGCAGCACTATTCACAATAGCCAAGCTCTGGAAACAACCCAGATACATCTGACAAATAGATCATGAAATTGTGATACCTATACACAATGGAGTATTACTCAGCCACAAGGAATAATGGGGTTTGAAGGTCATTCAAATGGATGCAATTGGAGGACATCATGTTAAGTGAAGTTAGCCAGGATCAACACAAATGACACATGTTTTCTCTCATACTTGGAAAACAGATCCAAAGATAGACATATGCACAAGGACAAGCATGATCATATACAAACCCAGATATAGAACATGTCTGTAACAGTGGAACTACTCTGGAATTCAGGGAAGGAGGGAAAAGTAGAATACCAGTACTATCGCACACCATAAGATGTGAAGATAGAGGATATAAGGATGTGTATTGAAAACTTTTTAAAGGCAGGAGATGATGGGAGGTAAAGGAGTAAGGGAGACTATTCGAAGAAATTGAATGGACCAACCAAGGTAAAGCATGCCCACAGTGGGCATACATTGAGAAACCCCTTTGAACTTCAGCTTACAAATTAATGGCAAAGGTCAGGACTTAAAACAGGTGCAGTGGGTATGGGATGGTGGGGGGGCATGCTGGTGGGAAGGGAGAGGTAAAGGAAGGAGATTGGGGTGACAGTGTGTGGTTGATGGACTTCATATGAAATGGAACTAGAAAACCTCTTGCAATTGCTTTAAGTTGGGTGGGGTTGAGGGGGAGATATGGTGGGGGCAGTGTAAATAATGTACAATATAAGTCTAATCAGAATTGTCACTATGAATCCCTCCCTGTATAATTAATATATCCTATAAAAATTTATAATAAAAATTAATTATAGTTATTAGTTATAATTTTATATAATTTATATTTAAGTATATTATATATTATTTTATACATATTTATATACATTTATATATCATTTGTATAATTTGTATAATTATAATTATCATTTAAATTTTGTTTATTAATAAAACCTATTCTCTCTTCCTCTGGGACACCCACTAAACTATATTTCCCCACTGTCTTTGAGTATTCACATGTCCAGTATGTCCAGTGGAAGGTAAGTAGAAGTGATGAAGACATTTGCAGATCTGGCCACCAAATCTCCCTCCCATGACCCTCCATGCTCATTCCCCCTCTAAGCTGAGTTGTAAGCAGCAGATGATTCCCAAGGAGACTGTGAGAAGCACATGTTGAGAATGGCACAAGTAGGGAGGATCTTGGGGCACTAAGTAACTACTTACAGGAGAGCTGCTCAGCAAGGACACCAGTTTTAAAGTGTTTTATGAACAAGAAGTATACTTTTTGTGCTAAGCCACTGAGATTTGGAGATACATCAATTGTAGCATGAGTTGTAATTGCTAACTAATAAACCTATAGGAAGAATTTTAAAGAATTTCTTTATCCACACATATATTAGGTATATTCATCTTTTGTCTGTGTGGAGAAATGTAAAATATTCTTCTTTGAATGAGCGCTAGACACTGACCCATGGTCTCCGTGGTACTGAGGGACTGATTTGAATTCCTTCCTTGAGTTAGCAATTCCAGGAAAAGGACATAATGAACTGAATTAATCTCTCTCTCTCTCTCTCTCTCTCTCTCTCTCTCACACACACACACACACACACACACACACACACACACACACACCTTTCCTGAAAGATTAGAACATCTGCCTGATTGGCTCATCAAACTTGCAAAATGTTTCTGTAACATATAAAATCTTATTTTCCATTTTTAAGACCTTGTTATTTTCTATTTTTCAGTAAATACTCCCTTAGGATATTCTCCTTACTGTAACATCCGAGTAAAGAACCCATCCTCTGAGTCTCAGAATACTTTTGAAAGTTATACTTTCTAATAAAATAAGGGTAAATATTTTCTTAGTTTGTTATCTTTCAATAATGACTTTGCCAAAAAATATTTTGATATCTAATTTTTCAGTATATTCTACCTCTGCATATTATAGGCTGTTATTTATAGCCCATGATATATCAAACTTTCTTCTTTTCCTGGTAGAGCTCCTCATTTCATTCATTTTCAGACAGAGTAGGTGATACAAGAGTTGCAGAGTACCATTTCCAGACTATTAAATTTTATCTAGTTAAGGGCCACTCAGTGCAGACAATTTTTTCAAACAAAAAGTTTAAATAAGTAATATGAGTCGGTTAACATAAATTTAGTTCTTTCGGGGGACAATACTGGGGTTTGAACTCACATTCTTCATGCTTGCTAGGCAGGTATTCTACTGCTTGAGCCACATACTTCTAGCCCTTAACATAAAGGCTTAAAACATCTAAAACAAAGTAAAATATGTAAAAACAAAAGTGATACTCTCTTCACAAGAAATAAGCCTTTGACAGAAATACAGTTAACTTCAACTGGTAACAATAATCAGAGATAAATAGGTAACTTTCAGTTGGGCTGCACTTATATGTGACTTTCTTTTTGTTTTAAATTGAACATATCTCTTGAAGACAATAATATTTACTTTTAGGAAGCAGTGATTAAAATAAAACATAAGCTCTAAACTCATATTTCTACCATTTTTCTTCTATTTCTGATTTAACAGAAGATCAGAAACATAAATCAATGTGAAAAGTTTCACAATATCAGTAATATAAAAATTTAAAGTATCTGAAACTCTTTAATAATAATATCAGAGTTTCAAATTTATCACTGTTTCTTTCTAGCTGCTATTCTCATCATCTTTTTCTTTAATCATGAAGCTCACTTATTGATTGATTACTTTTTATCAAGCACTACATTAAATGCAGGGATAAAAAATGAATAAACCATGACCTCTAACTTAAGGAGTTCATGGTCCAATGTGACATACACTTAAAAATCAAAGCAGTTCACATTGATGTATATATAAAAAAGGAGATGGAGACACAGTTAAGGGAGTATCTAATTCTTAAGCAATTACCCATTAAAAGTTGCTATCAACTAATAAGGTGAGAGAAGAATGAATAGAATGGCAACTAGACATGTTAACTAGCAAGTAATGGAGTGAAGGTATATTTGAGGAAAAATAATGATTTGCAAGTACAGATTCTAGTAAAATTGTTATTGGCTCCAACATTTTGATTACCAATATTATCTCTTTATGAAGATAAGAGTACTTATCATTACTTGTTATTCAGAAGATATCTTCCGAATTTTTTTTATCAGCACTAATACAGATGACATGAAAGATTTATGTAGCTGAATTTAATTTTTCATGTTAATTTGAAGACATGTAAGTTACCTATCCAGAAAAGAATTTCTTAGAGCAGGCAGGTGCATGCTTATCTTTTGCAAATTTACTGTGGAATTTCCAGGCTAACTGTGCCTGTTAGTGTATCACTACTGAAAAACATTTGGAAGTAGAGTGATTCTATAGTTAAGCAAAATTCAGGATGAAGTGTACACATGTAGAGGTAAGTATTCATAGTAATGAAAGTTCTATCTGCCTTCTCTGTGAAGAGCATGCCAAGTGTACTAAGGAACTTAAGAGCTGTTAACTAAACAAGAGAAAACATAGACCAAATTTGTTCAGAAAAATCAGCTGAAAAGAGCAAAGATAAATGATAGACAGCCAGATAGCCAGATAACCAGACAGAACGACAGAACAAACAGAAAGGGATGTTTAAGAAAATGTTGTATTTACTTTAGGATATAGAAACTGGCCAAGAGGTCAAAATAGAAAAAGTAAAACTTCCTGTTTTAAAAGAACCAAGCTCAAATGAATTCACAAAGTTTTGTTGCTGTTGTTACTCTAATAACATTTTCTAGTTCTCTATTAGTATAGAAGAATGTGTTTGCATATTCAACATTTGGACAATGAAGAAATGGTAGAGAAGACAAACTAACCACCTTAATCTCATGATAAGTGATATCCACTTTAAACACTTTCATGTGTTTGAGTCATTTGCCTAAGCAAATATATTTGAACATAAACAAAATTAAGATCCTTCTGTAAAATTTGATTGTGACCTGTTTTTTAATTTTAGAAATGTGTTATATTTTCTGTATCACTAAATAGATTTTGAAAATATAACTTAATAATTGTACTTTATACCTTTTTTTGGATTTTCCTAATTTGTTTCCTTCCTTCCTTCCTTCCTTCTTTCCCTCCCTCTTTCCCTCATTTTCTCTCTCTCTCTCTCTCTCTCTCTCTCTCTCT